ATATATATATATATATATATATATATATATATATATATATATATATATATATATATATCACACACACAGAAAATAATTGGCTTGGTACTGATAAAAATTCTGTTACCAAAGCAAAAGCACGTTTGCTATTTGATGATCGTTTAACGGAAAAAGACCGAACAGTTACCGTTACAAATCATTTTTTATTATTTGTCATTTTAACAGATATACATTGCCTGAAATATTAGTCACATTATTTTCTGGGTGTACAAAGTTTTATAAGTAACTTAGTATATATAAATATATATAGTAAATATTATAAGTAACTTAGAATATCAGTTATAAATATAATGGCAAGCACGAGCGGTTTGTTCGAAGCCAAATGAAATTTTTGTGTGGCGATAATTCGTGCGAGTTCGCATCACTGCTGACTAGTCAGAGCGAGGTAGTTGCTGTTAGGTGATACGTGCGTGTGCGTGAAATATTGCGACATTAAAAATTAGTAGTTTCAAAAAAACAAATCTGGTATTTATGTAATAATTACGTGTTGCTATTTCTTTTCCAAAATTCTTGTAGAAAGGAATATTTCTTTATTAATACAACTCTGATTTCCTGATCATTTCTAACCACTGTATTGCTAGCAAGTCAAATTTATGATTTGTTGGATTAATTATGCAATAACATTTGCATCCATTACAGAAATGTTGCTACGGTCAAATTGAAAGCAACAAATCATTAATTTCTATTGTTTGCTGTTCTATATTATCGACCATGTGTTGTGGGTACTGGTATTTTATTACATTAGCAAAACAATTTTTCTTAGTGTACGTATATAATTTTTATTACGTTTATTCAAAGTACAAATAATTTTGTATCATTTTTCATCTTTCTTTATCATCAAATTTTAACTTCACAAAATGTCAGCATCGTAAATGCGTTAAAGAGAATTCTTTCGTATACTCCGAGAAAAAGAACTTTAACAATCGTTTGTTATCTTTTCTTGAACTCCGAAGCATACGTGTACACTCACTTTCTGGATAATTATATACTTTGTATTAATATAGTTTCGATGCAGTTTGAAATGTAGCTAATGATTTAATTTGGTTGAAATGGTTCAATTAAGAAAACAACTTCTGGGAATTTAAACAAAACCAGTTCTATCATATTAGATCATCGGCTGCGTTCTACATTGCATCGGAAAGGAAAGGGTCTAAACTATAGAAATAAAGTTTGCATTCGTTTGCTTAGTGTTTCGTACATTGTTTTTCACTGATGTTAGTAAATATGTGCATGAAATGGTCACGATTGCGAGCTACCATTTACAAGTTTGCGTGGTGAATAGTTATGATAGTAGCCGAAGTAATAGTATACAAGACACCCGACATTATAACTGTAATGAAGGACTACAAAAAGAATTAAGTGCTTTTATGATACTTTTATCTATGAAGTAAAAGTATAATAAAGAGCCACTGTTAATTCCGTGTACTGTCATTCGACTTCTGTGATAAACGATTGACTTACAAACTCGTGAGCAATGGCTCGCAATCATGACCATTTAAACCGCACTTTTTGCAATTTCGGAGAACATTTTACAAACGATTGTAAATAAAATATCGCTTGATAAGGAACTTTAAGACCAGCGTCGCACGTTTCGCGATTTCATATCTTTTGCCATGTATGCTGACTGAAACTCTGTAGGCAGGAAGAATTAGTTACCTGAAGAGTTACTATCGTGCACTGAAAGATCTACGCAATGAAGTAAGCTGCCTACAGTGCATGCCGGTGAGCATGTATGTCGAGAAGTATGACATCGCGCATCATGTGTTGTTACACGACTAGGTTAACTTAAAGAATTACGTTATCTTGAGCCGTTAAAAAAATGTCAGGAATCATTAATTTTTTTTAACGCAATTCTCTAAATTATAAATTATGAATAATTTCCCTTATTTACAATGTTTAATATATGGTTTGATGAACATTTTGTGAGTGATTAAAAAAAATATAAAATATAACCGAGTTATAGGATTATATATATATATATATATATATATATATATATATATATATATATATATATATATATATATATATATATATATA